TCATCATCATCATCATCATCATTATCATCATCATCATCATCATCATCGTCCGAAAAATCATTCTCATCATCGTCATCATCGACGTCATCAACACCGTCATCACCATCGTCATCAGCATCACCATCATCATCATCATCATCATCATCATCATCCTCAGCATTCAAATCATCACGATCATCATCTTCCAAGTCATCATCATCCGACTGATCATCATCATCATCGTCATCTTCATCCGATTCATCGCCATCATTATCATCATCATCATCATCATCATCATCATCATCATCATCATCACGTTCACCATGGACAAGATCATCATCCAAATCATCACCATCATCCGAGACATCTTCATCATCATCATCATCCCAGTCATCATCATCATCATGCGGGTCATCATCATCATCCGAGTCATCATCATCATCATCATCATCATCATCGGAGTCATCATCATCATCATCATCGGAATCATAATCATTATCATCGTCATCATTATCGTGTTTCGGATCATCATCATGCTCGTCATCGATCATCGCGTTACAATGAAGCGAGTTACCTTATGTGCCACTTCGTTGATATTGTACACAATTGATTGATAATGCGCAAGATGGATAATGCTTGGTCCCTTTATTTAAGGGCGGAAAAGAAAGTGAACCTCTGTAGTCTACACAGGGTTCAGAATCTAAGTAGGTATATATACGATTTCTGGCAGTCTGGACTAATAAGAGGAGACAGCATGATCGCCGCCGCTATCTGTTCATAGCCTTGACCCTTATTGTTTCCAACCATCCGGTTGCAGGGTCTTTTCGAACCGAATCCGGAAGATGAGAGACACCTAATTTACCCAATCGCGCTGTGCAATTTTGCCTGCCCAGTTTCCATGTCATCTGATGACCTCTATGTAGCCTTTCTCAGCTTACAACAACCACTGAAAATAAGGCGCGCTGCGGCATACCACCGTCGGACATACGCAAAACGTGTCGAAACCAAAGAAGTCTATTCAGCTGGATTCGATGCCATAGTGAGTTCTTGTTTGATTCATTCCCAAACACCCAACGACTTACGTTTAACTTACCAACCCGCTCACTCCATCCCACTTGGGTCAAAATACGTGGGCACTGATTGTTTAAGACTACTAGGTGACGGATGTGGTCTATCCACAAACTCAAGGTCTCACAACCGTAAAGCAGAACTCATCATTCAGTGGCGCAGTATACGCAGCTTTTCAACTTCATTCAAACGTCACATCGCCGCCACATGTGTTTAAGTTCTAGGTACTTTGCACGAACCTTGGAAATGCGGGCGGTTATCTCGTTCAATGCGCTACAGTCGTTGGTTGTGCAGCTACCTTGGAACTAGAAGCAATCGACTTCAGCTGATTCCTGACTGTCTAGTTTCAGAGTGGGAGTAGGCGCAACCCAGTACAGTAGCATCAATTTGCACTTTGAAGGTGCAAAGTGCATGCTAAACAGAGCTACAGAACTCATCAATCTGTCAAGGGCGCTTTAAGCATTCTCCAGACATTCTTCAGACAAACAATGTAGTCAGCGTACTCTAAATCACACGAGCTGCCCAGTCAATACCAACATTTTGGAGACCAGTAAGTGCGTTCTCCACTATTTCATCTAGGATGAAATTGAACAGGAATGACGAAATAGGGCACGCTTGCCAAACACCGCTCCCGGTTTCGAACGATTTACCTAGCCCACTGTAGACCCTTAGGCTACCAGAACCGCAGTAGGTGTACATACTTCTGCGGCATTCCTTCGCGAAGCAGCGACCCCATAAGAGCTTCACGATCAACTTAATCGAAGGCTCCTTTTAGGTCGAGAAACATTGCGATTGTTGCCCGACGATATGTGTGTGACGCAATTTGAGAACTTGACGCAAAGTGAAGATTTAGTTGGTGCAACCGTGACCTGACCGGAGTCCGGCTTGCTGTTCGCCAGTGTTCATCTCCATTGACGGTGTCAGGCGGCGAATGGATGGAATTATGTGGGGCATATTTCAATTGCTTCCATTGCGGACAAGGTACTCGATCCCTTTGGGTTTTGGAACATCGTAAATCAGTTTGGCCCGTCACCCGAAAAAATCCCGAGCAGAGGGTAAAACGAAAATCAGATTATTGTTTTTGAATGTCATGATAGTTAGGTAATTGAACGGCTCATGTACTACAGGAATGCTTGAAATGGTCACAGAAACTGTCGTAACTTGATACCACTATGTCACACGGAGACTATAGATTGGTGCTCAAGTTTTAAAATCCGTAATAAATACTGAACAGATTACTTGTTAATTACGCAAACCACGGAGTGATACGTTACAGTTTCCGGACAAATGTGATGAGTCAACCTTCCCACATGACGCCAGTCAAGTGCCTACGCGGCACAGATTCTGGACGGCGAACAACAGGCCGATAGAGCCGAACAATCAGAGGCCGTGCGGTTCAGACCTCAAGAATACGAGCAAGCGATTGGCGGATAAATGGATAACTAATAAATTTCCTTTAAACACATCAATTACTTCCCTTGATTTCTTTCATTAAATGAGCTGCAACTTCTTTGACCTTTTCCTTGCACCTCGGTCACGTGGGATACCAATGTGCTACGGCAATTCAGTGTGTCCATTGCTTCCGTGGTTCTCGATTCCGGATTCTTCGATTGCAATTCGTGATCTGTGAGTACATCAACTGTTCCAATTAGCTTGTTTCAGCCACACAGGATACTATTAACATTTCGAAAGTCTTGGGTAGCCTGAATCAAGCCGCTAAAATGAGTCGGTTTTATTACGGCATTATAAGTATACCATACAATTTTTGTAATGAGAACTGTTTGATCTACGGATCACATGTGCTTCATATTATCTGGGAACTGATTCACAATTCTGTCGGACGGTAGTTTACAGTTTGGAAAAACTAACTCGGTCATCAAGTTCAATCGTAGACTCCCCATTTCAAGCAATTCAATTGATTTGTTTAACCGATATCATACCGAATATATTCGCCAGCCGGGGATAATCCAGATGCCACAGATCGTTTCTTTGTTGATGACTCGTTTATAGTGCTGCTTTAGTTTAAACTAAATCGATCGAACGGCTAGTTGGCTACTCAAACACGACAGGACAGATCATGAAAAATATAGACGACAAAATCCAATTTCAATCCAGGCCATTTAGAACGCATCAAAAGTGGTAAGTTGAGCGCACTGTTCCAGTAGTAGTAACTCCGGATCTTTGTACATAGAAACGTTAGATCTAAGTACTTCTGTTTCTTTGGTCTATCATGAATAGAATTGAAGTTCATGCTGTTCCTTACGGTAGTGGATTGGGGGGGGGGAGACAGTTAAATACTACTGTACGAGTGCTTCCTCATACACCATACAGTAAGTATCTGATTGTCCACCGAAAATATCACTCAATTTTTATTCAATTGGGAGAAATTTGACGTGTCCGGTGGCTTGAGTGATTGGCGTATCATCCTGTCACTGCCATCCAAGTGACATACCGGTGACCTTCCCTCGATTACCAAATCGCCGGATGCACGATGTGCTTTCAACTGGTTCAATTGAAGCGGCATGATGTGACCTAGAGTGTGGTGTATTGATTGTGTCCTTGAACTAATGCAATTTTAAAAGAGAATAAATTTTCCGGCCAGATTGGCATACTCAACTGCAGTTCACGCGGACAAATCAAACACTTCCCAGTCCCGGACGTGATAATCTCTTTTTTCATGTGGATAGTAGATTCCACTTCGTCAAGTCACGTCTCACTTTTCGTTTATTTGTGGTATGTGCTCGAGGCCGTCATCCCCTCGACCTCGCTGTAGCATGAGGTGTAGACTGAGTAATGCACATCCTCGTAGATTGTCGAGAAAACAGACGAAGGTCAAGTGTTAATAAGCACCCTTCGAATATTGAAATGAATCCAGGAGACCAAAACAAATTGAAAGCATAATCACGTGAGTTTGTAAATGGACGGCAAAGAGTAATCAGAGTAACTTGTCAAATATTTGGCACAGTTAGTTTTGAGTACTAAGTGCTTGGTGAGTTTGACCGGCCTTGTTTTTCAGACGTTCTGTTTCTGAACAAAACTCAGTTTACGTGGTCAATTATAAACTCGGTAAACATCACATAGCAGAGCTTCTTTCTAATTTAATCTCATCCGTCGCAAGTATTCAAGGACCGATCCGATATTCAAACCTGGTCTCCGGATCAAACGCTACAAAAGCCTGCACAACAGTTCTAGGGCCGGACCACCTTCATTTCGTGCTTGATCAGTGAGTACAACCCGTGTTATTTCACGGTTGAGGTTTTTCCCTTGGTTGTATATGTTGTGTCCTGTTTTAATTAAGTAGCACGTTTATGGTAGGAAGAAAATATATAAGCAGTCCGTGAATCGGTGTGCAAGCAGAAAGGGCAACACGCAAGGAGGCATGTAGGAAAACCAACAACTGAGTCATGCGTCACACGACAGCCGTTTAGGCATTCAAACTGTCAACCAATCAGCCTGGGAACAGTCCAATAGTAATATCTGATTGGCTGAAGAAGATCGATATTGTAGTAGAGTCAGTCCGCATGGCGTTCGTGCGTGGTACGTGTGTGCGAGCTGGCAGCATTTGTTCATCGATCAATCAATCAATGAATTCGGCCACAGGCACGCACGACAGACGTACTAGTCACTTAAAGACTACAACAGTATCATTACATATTGAATAGAAATAAACTAAGAAATCCATCTGCTGGTGTCATTTATTGCATCAGTTGATCTTCGCAGTCATGTATGTGAGCAGTATGGGTAAATTTTCAATTTTAATCACTGCCTTTGATTCTTTTTCCAGAAGAATATGCAAACTCTACGGTCTTTCAATCTGACTAAATTGAAAGTCTGTAGGTTTAAGGTTGTCCTGGTACGGAATAATAAAAAAATACTTTCATATTTCATTTTGTAAACTATTCTGTGCTAATTTTATCAGTGTCTGCTACCTGTGAGGAATCAAGCCGGTAGAAAGGAGTACAACCCCGCTGCTTGTGTCACTATCGATGTCTGTAAACGTTCGAATGGGCTGAATCAAACACTGTACAGTCAAAATTGGGAACCGCTTGTGTAAAGATGGACAAAAATCACTGATTAGACAGCTACTTCGTCCTTGGACGTATTCATCAGAATTGCGCACTTTTTTCTGTTCCAGTGGTAGAATGCAATCGATAACCTGAGTTGTGAGGTGTGTCCGATTACTCACATTTAGGCTCGTATTTTAACGTTAGAAATGTGTAGTAGTCAACTTAGGCACAGGTTACGAATCACGTATCACGGACGCAGGAAAAAGGCCACAGAAATGGCAATTCATTTAGTGAACGAAAACTGTAGGACTGAATAATGTGTAAAAAGAAATATTACTGGTCAAACGAATATCAGCCAATCACCGTTCTTGTTCTTCGAGTCACACGACTTCGGTTTGAACTGTATGACTGTTGATTGATCGATACTGTTAGTCTGTGGTCCAATGTCTAGAAACTGGAACTCACAGGCGCTTGGCTGGGTTCATCTGGGTGATTTGACTCACCTCAAAATGATTTTACTATTCTCCATGCGAAGTAGCATGCACACAATATTTTGATTCTAAGGGGTGATCGCGGAGAGTTAATTGATTTATTCATAGGAGGTGCAGGTCTCACGGATATGAAAGATACCACAAGGGACCTGTAGTGGTATCGGCAATAACACAGACAGAGAACAGGTCTATCTCGCAGAGAACAGTCCCCACCGGCATATACAGGATTCAACATTCATTCGTTAAATACTCCGCAGAGGGAGAATCGGGTATCGATGCGAGGAAATGCATGTTTTCGTAGAATCCAAGTACTATGGACACAAGAACAATGCGGCGGAAATTTCGATACACGTTCGTACAAATGCAGGCTTGAGAGGGGGGAGGTGATGAAGACACGAGAGATATAAAACAAAACAATTTTTTTGGGTGACTCTCCTTTATTCATTACCGGTTGATCTCAGAGTTTCCTGGAACTGATAAACAAGGATCATGCTTTGATCAAATTGTCACTGGATGGTTCAGTGAAGTGGAGGTACAATCTTTAAATTTGTAGGGTACGCATGCTACACGGGTGAATAATGTATAGGTAGAATAATACACTTAAAATTGTGTGGCAATCGGGTGTCAACTGAAAAACAGGTAGGGGGATAGCAACAAGCAGCGCCTACACGTTAGAGCTTCTAGACAACGAACTATGGACCGAATTAACCGACCAATCAGATGCCGGGCGGCCCAAAGAGAAGCAAGACTACGAGCACGCAGTTGGTAGATGCCTGTATAATCAATAAACATCTTGTGTGCGTGTTATTTAATCCCATTGATTTTTTTCAATAAACGACCTACTACTATTCCGTGATCTTTTCCTTGCGTCTCGGTTACGTGAGATACCGTCGTGCAAGTTCCAGTGTGATTCAGTGCTTCTGTGGTATCCGTGATTCCTAATACGTGATTTGTAACCCCTGATCTGTGCACGCTTCTATCATCGTAGAATAACTCGACAAAGGAGAGCTACAGTTGGTCAACACAGGGATTTTTTGGTTTCGAATCATGATCTACAGAGAACAGGTTGAAACGATAAAGCATAGGGGTTAGTAAACGTGTACACAATGTTCATGCAACTGAATCAGGATGATATAATCAAGGTGTACATGTTGCTAGAGCGATCAAGCGCTGTACTGCAGGAGGGGAGGCAAGGTACCGAAAGCGATCCAAGGATAGTCGTAACGTATGAGCAACAATGCATGATAAGATTAACAAACACCCTGGAGGGGGATGGGAGAACTGTGCATGCGAGGGAATAAACAAATTTCCCGCGAAATTCCAAGGTCACAAGTAGGTTAGATGAAGAAAGTATATCAAATAAGTTGACTAAGAATGGAAAAGACCAGAGAACGAATTTCCCTGACGAGTTGGTTAGATTTGGCGAGATTGATTTTCCCCGTGAGACTGTGGTTATCCAGGCTTACGTGATGACGCCTACCCTGGAGTGGCGCGTTACAGTTTCTGGACATCTGTGATCAATCAAATTTCAAAGTTGACGTCAGTGACGCGCGTACGGCTTCTCACTACACACCATAGACAGGTTGTGCCAGGCAATACGAGACAGTGCAGACAGAAGCAGAATTATGCAAACAGTACTTCAATACGACTGGTGGAAGCGTAGATAACTAATGATCTTCTTTTGTACATAGTATTGAATCACCTTCGTCTCTTCCAATAAATGAACTACGACCTACCATGACATTTTCCGTGCGTCTCATTCACGTGGGATATTAGGAGCTCGTGTCATTGCGGTCAAGTGCGTCCGTATTCTAGTCCGTGATAGCTGATACTTGATTCGTGTCCTGTGATTCCTATTGCATGGTTTGTGTTACGAGTTCCGTGCGTATTACTACTTCGGTTACTACTACTGTTGTGAGATACTACTCACTTGTGAGTAGTCGGTAACTTTCAATGATTAAAAATAGAACAAGACCATCAAGGACCAAGTAATATATTTGGGAAGAATAAACACTGCCTGCTATACCCATTGCCCCATGTGTCGCGATGTGCTGCGAAGGCATGTTTCTGATGAGCTTCTCGTGTTATGCATGCAAAATTAGTGACGTTCAATCTGTATTCTGTAATAAAGAACGCTCCTCGACCAGCAGCGCCTTTTTGGAATGCAACAATTGGTGCCGTCACCAGGATCAGGATGAAGGTTCCGTGGCCAGCAGCCTTCGTGGATGGGATGTTCGGGTGTTCCTGGAGGAGTTCGAGGATGTGGCGGAGCTGGCTGGAATACGGACGGATCGCGGCAAGTTGACGGCCCTTCGAGCGCTCCTCAACGGTCGTGCGCCTGGATGACCAATGAGGTTGTTTTGTACATATTATTTAATCCCCGTGATTTCTTTCAATAATCGAACTACTACTCCTGTGGCCGTTTTCCCCTTTTCTCGGTTACGTGGCATGTTGCGTGCAAGTGCCAGTGTGGTCCAATGCTTACGTGACGTCCGTGACTCCTAATCAGTGATTCGTGTTCATTGCATACTATTACTACTACTACTACTACTACTATGATTACTACTACAACAACAACTACTTCTACTACTATTACTACTACTACTACTACTACTACTATGATTACTACTACAACAACAACTACTTCTACTACTATTACTACTACTACTACTACTACTACTACTACGATCATTACATGAAAGCCCACCGACGAACAATCACGCTGGTTCGATTGAGTATTTCTCGTCTATCCCAGTCCATACATTGACTGCTATCAAACAATGAGTACTTGAACAGCAGTGCAAACAGTGCAAGCTTCAAACTCCGTTAACTCTGCCATGACAGAATAATGGAAAAATTTCACGAAAAAACACCAAGCAGCCTGAGATTCTCTTATCAAACTCGTTGCTCAAGACTTCTTCTGTATGTTTAGCTAATTTCTCTGGGCAAAGTGATTAGGAAGCTTGGTAGTTTGACAGTCGACAAACCATTCGAACAGGTCGAAACCTCTACGCAACGAAAGTTGCGTAACGCAAGCACCTCACCAAATCCAGTTTCCTTCGAGAACATCTGCATCACTGATTTGTGCGTATTCTAAGGACTACCTGGGTCAAAATCGATGTTTTCAAACTGTGATATCGGTAAACGCTCCGTAAACGATCCTAGATGTGTATCCACAGCAAATGTGTTTGAGTCAGTGGTGGTGATGGTGGTGCGTGTGTGCGTGTGCGAGGGCTTCAATATTCTGGATAATTTCTCCATTCATGAACACGATGCTCGATGAATCCATTCCACTTGAAATGCTTGCACACCGGTAACCTCGATCGTCTGCCCTCGTCCATCGGACGAACTAACACAAGAAAAGCTCTCAAGAAATCAGACAAAGCACACAATTTAACACACTTCAACCAAATCCGGAAACCGTAACGCGTAGGCTCTTGGCTGGTGCCATCCGGGCAGCTTGGTTCACCACGTGTCCAGAAAGTGTAATGCGTCACTCCGTGGCTGCCGATATCCTGTAGGCTAGGATTACCGCAAAACTACCAAGGAATCATATACAACACACAAACCTTGTGTTTGTCAAGTCACATAGTATGAATCAAAGTCCTGTTCAAATCCAAATAGGGTACAGTATATTATATTACAATATATTATGATATGGTATAGTATAGTATAGTATAGTTCGGCATAGTGTACCATAGTAAGGTATAGTACAGTGTATTGAGGTATAGCATAATATAATATGGTGCAGTATAGCATAGTGCAGCACTGCAGTACATTATAGTATAATATAGTATAGTACATATTTTATATAAGAGAAATAGAGATGCACAGTAAAGTGGTCTTAAAATAAGAGAACATAAAGATATCCCTCGACAGTTCGTGTTCAACTTTTTACCAGTCTGAGAAATATTTTCATCCATTTCGGAATGAGGTCTGCGGGGCTGTGCGTGACAAGTTTGGTTATCAAATTAGGAGGGCTGTTAGCAATCAATGGTATTTAGACGTCCTGAAAGTCCATTTCACTCTCTTCTCTGCTCCAATCCCGACTGATTTTGACGTAGCGTAGTGTATCATTTATCTGTTCAAGAAGAAACGGAACTTCCGCTGACAACCCAACCCACCCCAGCAGTTGCGCCTTTTCATAAAACTGCTCCTCGGGTCCTTTTAACAGTTTGTCAAAACCTATTGAATATGCGGGTGGTCTCATGCATCATGTTTTCACCTTGAAATTTAATCCGTTTTATTATGACTAGGAATTTACGCGAATGATCATGGTGTTGCAGTACCTGTCACCCGTGTGCTTTGGACTCCGTAGTCCGAGGTTCGAGCCCAATCACCGCCACCCAACTTTGGTAGTAGGCAGACTTTCTATCTTTCAGTTCAACGACATGTATAATCTTGTCGAGCCTTAGGTGATTTACCACTCCAAGTTCCCCAAGGCTTTGGTTACCGGTCTCTGTCACCGAGCAGCAGGTCTATGTGACTATGGGGTCCACCCCGTGGGCTATGCATCACAAATGTGTGTAATAAAAAGATGTCGATTAACATATTAATTACATCAGTTTATTTTGTCACGATCATCTGCTATATGTTGAATGAACTTTCTTAATGTATCGGATCCAACCACGGTTCCTAAGCTAGACTGCATAGTTCGCGAGTAACCCCAGGTGCCCCGTGACCAATTATATTGCATTTGATTTTTCACTTAGTCAACGGAAAAGAGAGAATATTATAACTGGAATATCGATCGATCAATCCTACCCTGGCCTGGTTGAAAAATGATGACATCATGGAGGAGACTCAGGAAACCGAGATCTCCTAGCACATCATCAATGCCATGAGGATTCAAAACCACGTGGAGTGACTCAGTATTGACACGGACTATTCTGAACCGAACCGAGTGGTCCAATCGGTTTAGTAAATGTTAGTCTGGTCATTCGTGCTGTTGAGCGCAATCTCTTCCTTGTTTTGTGTCATATAATAACAAATGCTTTAATTTTCGTTTGTTTGCCGAGCTTAACAAATTTTTTTCGCAAACGGGTACGTCCGGGTACAGAGCAGAACACTGCCACTTCACAAACACTGACAATATCACCTCGGCTGGCGATGAAACGTTAGCAAACAGGTAAAATGGAATTCAGTTTACTTGAGCTACGGATTACCAAGTTTCATTACTTTATCAAATGCATAATTTGAACATTAGCAGCATGAATACAGCTCCGTGCAAATGCCATCAATTCGGAACGATCACTTTTGTGTGTTCTCTCCACCATCGATTCATTGAAGATTAGGTTATCAGTGGAATATATTTCTCTGATTGTTTCGGATGGAATTTCATTAAATTGCTGATTTCCAATCTACTCATTTATCAATTTCGCGTTTGTTAGGAGGGAGCGCACAGAACCGATCAGGCCAGGCAGCGATCCGCGTCACATCACAAGTGCGTTTGTGAATTGTTCAAATAGTTGTTTGGCAGATTTGAAGTTTGTATGTCGTTTGTGAACAGTTCAGTAGCCTCGGTGGGATTCGAACCCAGGCATGGACGCCGCCACGCTTTGTACGCGCATGCTCTACCAGCTGAACCACCAGGCCACACCGATAGCACTGATCTTTTCACATTCGAATTTACGAGGCTACTGAACTTTTCACAATCGACATACAAACTTCAAATTTGCCAAACAACTATTTGAACAATTCACCTTGTCTTAGAAGCTCATTCAGTGGAGTGAGGTGAATTGTAAGGAGACTCTGTCGGGGCAGTCAGCTACATGCTAACTGGTGGATGCCACATGCCTCTGTAAGTTGGATAGACAAATTCGAATGTGAAAAGATCAGTGATATCGATGTGGCCTGGTAGCTCAGCTGGTAGAGCATGCGCGTACAAAGCGTAGGCGGCGTCCATGCCTGGGTTCGAATCCCACCGAGGCTACTGAACTTTTCACAATCGACATACAAACTTCAAATCTGCCAAACAACTATTTGAATAAGACGAATCAGACAGCTGTCGTCCGATCGATAAACCGGAGTATCAAGGACACGATCTGATTGGTGTGTGCATCGGATTCACCACATTTACTTGCATATTGCGTCACGATCAACAATATATTCTGACTGTTGTTTTTCTCAGCCGTGTGCCCTCTCTCTTTCCATATCGTTGTCGGGGGCTAGTCAAGAGTTACTCATATCGATCATACGTCTTGGCAAGACATATCAGCGTTCAAACCTCGTTAATGGTGAAATTGTGCAGTCGGAAAACGTATTTGTCAATCTATCACTAAACACTATCAAACTTGAGGGCATTCTTGTACATCGATCTGTTATACCCTGTTGCTAAAATTCACCGAATTTAGACAGATTCGAACCAGCGTATGAAGGGTCCCAAATTCACCGATCTAGTCATCTGAGTGGTCCGAGCTGGCAGGACTGCATGTAGAAGCGTTGATTTGTCATTATCTTTAAAAGATAACAGTGGAATATGCCAGATAGTGGTAAACGCCCAGGGGCATGACTTCTAATTCGAGTCCCACTCCGAATGTGTGTTGTGTTCCATTGAGCGACACTTGGATTCTAGTAGTCAACCTCTAACCAAATATAATACTGATGTATCTTCCACTTACTTACCACAACTTCATCCTCGATTGATCACTGAATTGTCAAATACATGATTGTACAAGCGAAACTTTTAATTATTATTTTTTTCAGGGGAGGAGGGAGAGGAGTGAGCGATCCAATTCAGAGATACCGTCTAATACAACACAAAAAATGGGTATATGATTTTGATGAAAATGCATCCGGAATTGAACATTCTGCGCTGTATCCCATCCCACTCAAACATCTCGAGATCAATCAACATTGATCAAACATTGAGTGACAACCGTATCTCTCATCTGAAGTAACAAATTGTATGTCATTATTAAAGCTATTGTTAACTTTTATAGTTTTCGGTCCCGTGTTCAGTTAAATCCATACTATACCATTTCAAGATAGCTTTGAGAAACTATAATTTTCATTTGCGAAACCGTCA